TCATCATAGCTCACTGCAACCCCCAACTCCTGGGCTCAAGCGATCCTCCTGCCTCAGCCTCCTGAGTAGCTGAGACTACAGGTACGTGCCACACCTGGCTAATTTTTATTTTTGTAGAGATGGGGTTGCCCAGGTTGGTCTCAAACTTCCAGCCTCAAACCATTCTCCTGCCTTAGCCTCCTGAGTTGCTGTGACTACTACATATAGGCATGAGCCACTGTGCTGGGCTAGTTCTGGCTGTATTAAATTTGAGGTTCCTATGGGATCAGGATCGGAATGGAGAAACCCAGGAGATAAGCACGGCAGACAAATGCCACAGGGAGTACCCACAACACAGCACTGTGCAGGGTTCTGCACGCATTGCTCCCTTGGAGCCCAACATCCTTAAGAGGCAGATACTATTATCCCTGCTTCATAGCAGGGAGACAGGTTCATAAAGTACTTGCCAGATGTCCCATAGCTAGTGGCAGAGTGTAAACACCTCCAGGACCTGAAATTTCAACTTGCAGAACCCCTTTACTATAGTGTCTCAGCACTGCTGCTAAATCATCCCGAATGTAGCTGAAGCCGTGTGCCCAAAGCCTTGCTCTACGGAGCACCATGACTCTGGCTTCCCAATTTTAAGAAGTTGGGGTTGTGTTCATTTTCCACAGAGGACAGGCCCAGCAAGGCCCTAAGCTGGTGAAATGTCAAAGTTGTGATTAGCAGCCAAGTAGGACTGTGACAGACAAAAACCTCCCTCTCAGGAAGAACGAATCTCCTGGAGGACCCTCAAGCCCAGGCTTCAGCACATGGTGTTTAATGAAAATAGGCAATATAGCTTACCAGTTGGATAAATTATGAAATTTATTTATATATCGCCTTTTGAAAGCCAGAACATAACAAATTTCACTTTCTGGAAAGTCATCTTATTAGAAATACATGAAGTGCACTTAATACAAGGAAATAAGTTTCTTGGTACCACCGAGATGGACATATGCTCTCTCAACAGTTCCCTCAAATGAAGGGTTTTGTCAAATTTCCCTCCAAACTTCTAATGAGATGATCTCAATTTAGAGAGGTCTGAGTAAACTTTTTCCAGAAATTATAGTGAAGAAAAAGAAGTGGACCTTTAACATTTGGGTCCTCCCAAGTAAGCACATTAGAAAAAACCGTTTTGCCCCAATGGGCCTCATCTTCGCTGGTGACTAGGCATTTGCAGCTCGTTACTGGCAGGCAGGGAGAGGCCACAGCAGCAGTTACAGGCCCACTGTCACCTGCAACCTCAGCCACTGACCAGAAGAAATTTCCATATTCAGACTAGATGTGTGACATGAAAGAATGAACCTAAATCCATATGCCTTTTGGTCAATCAGAGGTTCTGCTCCTACAGATTAGGCTGACAGCTCTTAGCCTTATATTTATTAATATTTGTAAAATATGTTGAACTTCAAACTTCTAGAGCTGTTACTAAAGAAAGTTTCCGGTAGACAGCTTTCATTAACAACTGTTCATCATGAGATGTGCCTTAAGAGCAGTGTCTTGTTGGAAGAGACAAGAGGGTGCAATACTGGATTTCCTATAGCTTCACTCTACATTCAGAAAGTAGGTTTTCAAACACGGATTTACATGTTGAAAGCAGTGTCATAAGGAAACCATCTGTGATAGAGAAACAATGCTCAGTTTAATCTAAGTTACCACGTAGAAGATAAAAGAACTAGTATCCACTGGAGCCTCTAAACCTCTTCCTTCCTATTCATTCGAGGACTCCTTTTCATGCTTCAAGGACCAGAATGTAAGCAAGCTCCCAGAGAGGCAAACATGACCCAGTAATCTGAAAATTCCTCACTAGTTTGAAGATCACAACCAAAAAGCTATGGCCTCCCATCTCTCTTAGCTGACCCTCCTCCCCACTTACAGATAAACAGATTTTAACTTTCCTAACCTGGAAACACTTTCACAAAAACATACGGTTACACCTTATCCTAAAAAGGCACCATGCAGGCATTTAAGACTGAACCAGTTAATTCTAAGGATGTGCAGGAATAGTAGGAAAATATCACTCATTGAAACTTCCAGCACTGGATCATGCTAAACTCAGAACATTCACTGAGGACTTGTGAAATGCATCCCAGGATGGCAACCCCAGCTTCCAGCAGCTGCCGCCAACGGCCCACTGGCAAGCAGCTCCGCTGTACATAGGAGCTTCAGCACTGATCAGGGCCCACACACCTCAGAGACAAGGAAAGGAGAAGCTTGTTTCATTGTGCTTCATGACCCAGAAAAGGTTCTGGCTGGCTCAGAGGACATGAGAGATGAACAGAGATGAACACTGACTGGATGGGAGGAATGAGTGTGAAACAAGAACACGTTGAGGTGAAGAAGCCAGATTCTCTTCCAGAAGAAGAGGCAGAAGCTCCAGGAGGCAGCTAAGAACCAATAAAGACCAGACCATGTGACAAACAAGGTGAACAGTGGGGGAAGACGGCTTTGGCAAGAGCCCAAAGGAAAGGAGGGCTCTGACCTGGGGACCCGTTTCCCCTGCCAGAAGTGACCCTGTCCCAATGCCACGGATCGTTTCCAGGTCTGTTGTACAGTTAAGGTGTAGGAGTCAAAGGTTTCACGTTTAACACATAATGGAAGCTCTGGAACGTGAGGCGGACGGCACGGACTGCTCACTGATCGATGATGGAGCGCTGCAACACCTGGTTCATCATGTCCTCTTCATCGACATCGTAATCCTGAGGGCAAAACACAGACACACAGCCTCAATGACGCTACACGGCTGCAAAGACTCACATTCAGTAGAAGGAATCCGGACAGGGCTGCCAGGGACCAAATCCCAGCTCCAACATTTGCGACACTAGTTATGCAACTCTGGGCAAATTATATCACCTCTCTGTGCCTCTGCTGTCTCATCCTTAAATAAAAGTAATGATGCCACCCTGAAATGGGAATCGCGGGGCCCAGACAGCACATGAATGGGGCCTGGCACAGACCAAGTGCTCAGCGCGTTTAATTTAGTCCCAGCAGAAGGCAAACACATGCACAAATGCACTCAGCTGGTGCTGTTTTTAAGAGGTGGGTTGAGTGCCCAGTACAGGTTTTTTTTTTTTTTTAGGGCTATAAGGAACAGCAGAAACTGTAGTGAAGCTAGCCTTCTTTAATTTAATGAGGCAAAATTGTCTACTTGGGCATTTTTAGGAATTACATTCATCTTTATAACATTAACAAAATGGACAGTTATTCTGAAGTCTGAGTTTTAGACCCTCTGTCAGACTGAGAATACTCTTTATGACAACTTAGAAAAGAGCTTTCCTTCTTAGATCTTGAAATATAGCCATAAGACTGAACACTACTCTACAATTCTAATTTTACATCTATGTGTATGTAAATAAAAGGTCTACTTCAAACAGTTGGCCAAATTTATCTATCACTACAATGCCCAGACAACTGTGCCCCTTTCAAAACCATTCAGCTCTGGGAAAAAAATACAAACCTGATAGTCATACTTGGCTAGTGGATGTGTTCTGTTTGACCTGACGTATTTTTAAAAAATCATTAAAATCTGTGATACTTCATATGAAATCCTGCATGTCCTGCTTCAGGGGTGGGGGTGGAGGAGACAGGCAATACCGTGCCTGTATTTCCGCAGGACAACAATCAGCTGAGGTGATGGTGGCACAACCTAAGTCAGGCACGGTCTGGCTGGTGAACCCTTATGAGGACCCTTTCCATTACTGCCCTAGTCCCCAGGGACACATGAACTTGAGGCTCCCAAACTAAGTGCTGTAACAGGTAGAAATTATATATACCACAAGAAAGTGGGCAAAACTTTGGGGGTCAGGGAGGGGGAAGAAAGGAATAAGCTTCACTGTGTCTGTCTAGATGATTACCCTGGCCACCCGCCTGGCCCATGAACAGAAACTGCACAGCTGCAGTTCCAGGGACTGGGAGCCCATCACATCAGAGATAAAGCTCAACAATGAGGCCCTCGGCAACCTTCTGAGAAAAGTGAAGTAGCTGTGCTGTCCCCCAGGGGAGGGATCAGAGCTTGGGCTCCGGACTTACCACAAAAGTGTCATAAGAAAACTGGTGCCGGCGCTGGATGTGCTCTATGAAGTTGGCACTGCGGTAGTTAGGGTCTCCCCAGGGCATCGAGGCACATATCGGACAAACCTTTCAACAAAGAAGCAAGGTCTTAGGCATTTGATGTCCCAGCTGGCACCAGCCCTCCGTGGCCTGTGTTGGCCTCCTTTCTTCCAGAACAGTTCTCCTGACACACCAGTCCAGGGCCTGGTCACTTCTTCCTGTGCACATCAGCATCCCAGAAAATACTGCAAGTTTCCTCCTCAAGTGAAATGACACGTGGTAGTGGATAAAGGCTCAAGTCATGACACCACCCTTTCTGATTCCTACTGTAGTCAGGGAAGTGGGTCAGTCAGCCCAATGGGGGCCTAGAATATGGCCTTCCAACACCCCCCCGCCAGATGATCCAAAAGCACAAGGAAAACCAAGTAAATAATCAGAAGAGCAATGTCCCAAGGAAGTAAACATAGCCTCACGTGCATTTTAACAAAGTAAATGCTCAGATGAGGGGGATCAGGCCAAAAAGCCCTTGTATGAAAGGCTGATTTGGGCTTTGAAGACTGGGTAGTATCTGGACAGGCAAACAGAACATGTAAGGTGCTCCAGAAGAAAGGCAGGATGTGAGAAAAGGTCAGGAGGCAGCAAATAGCCACACTAGCTAGAATGGAAAACTCATGCGGGGAAGAAGGTATAGTGCTCTGGCTTGGAGATGGAACCCTCCCCAACCGCCAGGAAGACATAGTGGCAAAGGGGGTTGGCAAGATATCATCTGGGATGGTGGAATAGGCACGTGTAGCTGTGGAGCTATGACACAGGGCAGGACTAGAGACTGAGGAGAAAGCTCCCAAAGGGGAGGTGAAACACAGAATTAAGGAGCTGCAGAGGGAGAGGAGATAGAATAGAGGGCCAAGGGCTAAAGAACAAAGGGCTTCACAGAGGCAAAAGAATCAGAGGGATTTCAGGAAGCCAACAGAGCAGGGAGAGAAGAGAGAGAATATTAGGCTGTAGCATCAGAAACCACAGAGTTGTTTAGCAATAGCAGTATCTACCAAGATTATGAGTGCAGGTAACTTTTGACCAAATTAATTCATATTTAAGACTTCAGCGTATAAACATACAAAGGATATGTTTCTCACATAGGCCCGCTGTACCTTAAGATTTATGGTAGACAAATAAAGAACACTACCAGGCCTGATAAGATTAGCATTGATAGTTACCCTGGTATCCTTACAAAAGGTCATGAAAATTCTAAAGTCTGTGCACCATCTTTTACAGCAATGGAGCTGATGGTTGTCCATACAACTGGGCATATGGTTCAAGAGACGCAATATGAGATAAACTAAAACAAAATTATAGAGGAATATATACCTAACTATATGGGAAGACCTAGTCTGTCAATCACATTGAGAGGGGAAAAAAACACAATGCTGAGGTAGACCAAATTCATACATTTTTTTTTTCCCGAGACAGGGTCTCACTCTGTTGCCCAGGCTAGAGTGCCGTGGCGTCAGCCTAGCTCACACCAACCTCAAACTCCTGGGCTCAAGCGATCCTCCTGCCTCAGCCTCCCGAGTTGCTGGGACTACAGACATGTGCCACCATGCCCGGCTAATTTTTTCTATATATATATTTTTAGTTGTCCAGATAATTTCTATTTTTGGTAGAGACAGGGGTCTCACTCTTGCTCAGGCTGGTCTCGAACTCTTGACCTTGAGCGATCCACTCGCCTTGGCCTCCCAGAGTGCTAGGATTACAGGCGTGAGCCACCGCGCCCGGCCTATACATTTTTTAATAAAAGAGACTATGTGCCAGTTGGTGATATTTAAATAAAGCCCTTTCCTAATAATTCCATCTAAATCTTCTTTTCCCACAACTATAAGAAGCTACTCTCAAAAAGAAAATGACAGCTTTATGGAGGAGAAATCTAGTGGATACCAAGGGATTCAAGTTAATGTTACCAGCAACAGGAGCAACAGACATCAATCACGTGACTCTTAATGTGGCACAGAGGACACAGAACTTAGTACCATTCAAGACTCCTCCTTCGGGGGAGGGGGAAATTGCTATGAAGGACATCACAAATGTTAAAGTTTAAACATGGATTTCACACTAGTTATTAGACTGTATCAATGTTAAATTTCTTGAATGTGATTAATTATACACACAAAAAAAGTCATTTTGTAAGAAAATGTTCTTAGGAGATATACATTGAAGTACTTAGGGTCCAAGAGGTCACAGTATCTACAGCTTATTCCCAAGTGGTTTGGCAAAAAATATGTATATATACAGTATGGTTAAGCAAATATGGTAAAACGTTAATAATTTGTAATTCCAGGTGAAGGGTACACAGGAGTTCATTGTACTAATCCTGTAGTTTTTCTCTAAGTTTGACTTTTCTTTTCATAATAAAGTTAAAAGAAAAAAAAGGTTACTCTTACCACAGATTTGGTATCCGTGCTATGGGATAATTTGCAGTGTTCCACAAGTCCTTCCTGATCAAAGTTCTTCTCAGCACAGTAAGGACAAGGAAAGGTATAGCGGTTTGGGACATTCCTGGAAGGTGAAGGACAAGAAAATAAAATCTCTCTGTGAGTACCCTTCTATGAAACTTCAACCACTGTACATTCCAGAGAGGAGCAGAGTTCACTGAATGAGTTATGACAAGGATTCTGATTATCACTTCAGAATGAAGTCTTGAAAATAAATAGCACAGCTAACATCTGAGGTGAACAGAGAGTCCTCTCCTGCATATCCCCCCCCAAAACTTATCAGCTTTAGCCAATGTAGCAATTATACCTCCACTTTCCCAAACTTATACAACTAAACCCTCAAGAATGCAAAGTGTCCAATTTCTTTGTACCAAAAGATGACTTCCACCTAACGGAGTGATTGAGTCATTTACCTTGGCTGTAGGGATGCATCCTTAGTGGTGGCCTTCACACCTTCCATGATGTAATTCTGGTATTTGGAACAGGTAGCCACGTGGGCCCGGATCTTGGATAAGAAGAACTCGAATAGAAAGAGAGCCCACAAGTTAGTGAGGAACTTGTACCAGGCCAAATATAGTCCCAAAGCAAGGGCAAGATGAAAACTAGACCTACACCACCCTGGCAAATAACCTCACCAGACTCCTGAAACCCCGACTATTGCAGATTTTCCATGAATATCAAGGCTGATGTTTTACTAGACCAAATCAGAACATTTGCTTCTACTCTAAAATTATTCTCCTAGAGGTGTGCATTATTCATGATATGCTCTAAATCCAGTGATATTTTTAAAGTTTTCTACACTAGCATTTAAATTAGTCTTCTTGGCCAGGTGTGATGGCTCATGCCTGTAATCCCAGCACTCTGGAAGGCCAAAACAGGAGGATTGCTTGAGGCCGGGAGTTTGAGACCAGCCTGGGAAACACAGTGAGACTCTGTCTCTTAAAAAAAAAAAAAAAAAAATTAGCTGGGTATGGTGGCATACACCTATAGTCCTAGCTACTACTCTGGAGGCTGAGGTGAGAGGATCGTTTGAGTCCAGGAGGCTGCAGTTGAGACTTCAGTGAACTGGGATTGCATCACTGCACTCTAGCCTGGGTGACAGAGCAAGACCCTATCTCTAAAAAAATTAAAAATAAATCTTACAGCGAGCCAAGAACCATATTCCATTATGTGCAGCAGAGAAAAGTGGTCATTTAAGTAAAAGGGATAAAGGCTAGTAACCGTAAAGTATTAATCACCAGATTGTGATAAATGATCTTAAAAAAACTGAAATCTGAATTTTATCTTTCATATAAAATCTAGGCTGTGCATCAGTAAGATGGAAAGAGAGAAGAAAATCCAAAGAGTGCTTTGTTATAGGTGTTCTAAAAGAAAGAAAATGTGTAAGAAATGGAGAGGGAAGTAAGGGAAAGAAAAACATTTTGAGAGGTATGCCCATAGCACAATCCTTAAAATGGAGAAAAACAAAAGCATATGGGGGGAACAAAAAACTCTCTATGCATGCATAAAGATGACGGTAATACGAAACTTTATTTCAATATCTTGAGTTTCCAAAAAGAAACAAGGAAAAAAAAAAGCTCCAATATTTGAGCCCCAGCTCAAATATGATTCTTTCTGTCTCACCTCCAGCTAAAGAACCTGTTGACTTTAAGTTGCCCACTGAGGAGCCCCCAGTTAAAAGGGAATATCCCGGCTGAGCACGGTGGCTCACGCCTGTAATCCTAGCTCTCTGGGAGGCCGAGGCGGGTGGATCGCTCAAGGTCAGGAGTTCAAGACCAGCCTGAGCAAGAGTGAGACCCTGTCTCTACTGAAAATAGAAAGAAATTATCTGGACAACTAAAAATATATGTATAGAAAAGATTAGCCGGGCACGGTGGCGCATGCCTGTAGTCCCAGCTACTCGGGAGGCTGAGGCAGGAGGATGGCTTGAGCCCAGGAGTTTGAGGTTGCTGTGAGCTAGGCTGATGCCACGGCACTCTAGCCAGGGCAACAGAGCCAGACTCTGTCTCCAAAAAAAAAAAAGGGGGATATCCCTATTCAGCATTGTAATAGCCCCACTATGTGCCCCTAATACTAAATCGCTCTGAAAGGAAGGAGATGGTGAGGTATATCCATATTATGGCCATCATAAAAATAATGAAACTGACATGCAAAGCTGTCCAATGTCATTAAATGAAAAAAAAACTTTGAAAGTGAAAAAAGTAAAGATATATATAATATGATACCACCTTGCAAAAATCCAACAACTGTGTTTGTATACATACTCTACATCTGTTTGTCAAAGGGTAGAAAATGTCAGGTAGCCTTCTAAATTGAACTACTTTTGAAGTGGTAATTTCTGGAGTGAGAAATAAGCCTACATTATTTTATATTTTTGTATTGTCTGGAGTTTATAAAATTATAACGATTCTAAAAGCAATAAGGGTGTGTACGCCTCTTGGAAAATAAGACAATAATATTTTTCCTTTTCAGGAGCAGTTATAACAGATGTGAAAATAAATATACTTGACTCAAATGATTACACAAAAGAGCATAGATGCATTTCAAATGTTAAAATATTGCTATTACAATCAAATGATTTCATATTGACTTTTATATCATGATTCCTCCCTATAAAGTGCTAGGAAGTTGAACCATTAAATTTTATATCTCTAATAATGTAAATTATAAAATTTCCCCTCAAATTCATTGCAACAGATAACTTTTTTGATTCACTGCCTTTGTTTTATATTTTAAAAGATTATGAAATATTGTTATTAAAATTGTTTATACTAATGGGGTGCAATGAACACTATTTGGGTGATGAGTACACTTACAGCTGTGACTCAAGCATTACAAAAGTGATCCATGTAACCAAAAACATCTGTACCCCCTTAATATTTTGAAATGAAAATAAACAAAATTGTTTATACTACTTTGGAAAAATGAGTCTTTCCTATAAGGAAAATACTGGAATAACTGATTTCTATGGCTTTCAAAGCTAAATACTTAAGCAACTCTTAAAAAAAAAACCAGTAAGGTTACGAAAACAAAATAGCACAGCCATCACCACAGATAAATGGCATGCACACGTGCTGTTAGTCACCTAGTCATGCTCTAACTTCAGAAACCACATGGCAACAGCTCTAAGTTTTACCCCATCTCATCAATGAAAGACACTGACTCTTCCATGTTACTTCCACATACATTCTTACGGCAGCCATGGCAAGAAGTCTCTGTGCTCTCGATCTGCCGCTCGAGCTCCATGGCTCGGACGCCAGGTGCCAGAGCGCTGCGACACACCCCACAGACAGGTTTCTTCGGCTTCAGACATTCCTGCAGGCATGCAGAGCAAAAGCTAGAACAAGACACACAGAGAACCTCCGTCATGCATCATGGAGACAAGACAATGAATATGGATCAACTTTTAAAAAGACATCAATGGATAATGGATTAAAAACAACTGGCTCCCTACTCCCAATTCAAATACTAAGTCATTCTAGGTCAGGAAAACTGGGGGTAGGGAGAGATTGCAAAGAACACACAGGTACAGAAACAAGCAAAAACTACGATGATACATAGCAGAAGATATTATGGCTGAGGCTTCAAACCTTAGGCCCTGCCACTGAGGAATCTTAGTGGGGTTTCCTGAACCTGTTTTCTCCTCTGTGAAATTAGGATAGTACTGCCTGGGCGCAGTGGCTCACACCTGTAATACTAGCACTCTGGGGGCCAAGGCGGGAGGATTGCTTGAGCGCAGGAGTTCAAGACCAGCCTGAGCAAGAGCCAGACCCTGTCTCTACTAAAAATAGAAAAAATTAGCCGGGTATGGTGGCACAAGCCTGTAGTCCCAGCTACTCAGGAGGCTGAGAAAGGAGGATCGCTTGAGCCCAGGAGTTTGAGGTTGCTGTGAGCTATGATGCCACCACAGCACTTTAGCCTAGGCAACAGAGTGAGACTCTGTCTCCAAAAAAAAAAAAAAAAAGATAGTAGTATCTACCTCTAGGATTGTTGGTAAGATGCAACATGTACAGTACAACAAACCCTTAGTAAAGTGTACGACATGCACAATAAATGGGAGCTGCTACCATTAGAGGCGAAGGCAAAGTGCTATAGGAACACAAAAGGAAGAGCAACTAGTTGTGATTTGAGGAGGACAGGGCCGTCAGACTTCAGAGGCAGCATTCACGATCCTTCTTAAAAGAGTTCAGCTAGCAAAGAATATTCTAGGCCCATTGGCTCAAAATTCATGATGCATCAAAATCTAACAGACTTTTCCACATAAGGAGTAGTAGGGAGCCAGAGGTTTAAAGCAAGGTATCAATAAGACCAAATCCAAGTTTCAGAAAAATAACTCTGGTTCTATCACGGACAACACAGTTTTTTGTTTGGTTTCTTTTGTTTTAGATGAGGAGAGATGAGAAGAGACAAAGTAGAAACCAAAAGATGACTAAAGGCAAGGGACTGACTGAGAAAATATGGAATGAATTCAGAAAATGATTCAGAGACAGAATCAGTAAGACTTGATAACTTACTGAATTTGGAGAAGAAAAGAAAGTCAAAGATGACCAAGTTTCTACCCGGAAGCCTAGGCAGGTGATGATTCTGAGATAAGGTACACAGATAGAATGAATAATAAGGCACAAAAACATGCTAGGCTACTTACCCAACCTGATAGATTTAAGGCAGGATAACAAAATCTGCCATGAAAAACTCAGGATTTATAATCAAAGGCAATCTTCTGCACAATTGACAATTTTTTACCGTCTCTAAAAATTTCTTTTCTCTTTGTCATTAAGTTAGATATTAATGCTGCTAGGCAAAATTCTGGACCAGGTTGGGAGAAGGTAAGGGGATCTATTCATTTACCACTGAGAGCAGAGTGGAAACTAGACAAAGTCCCTGTTCTCACGATACATGCTAGAGTAGAGGAAAACACAAGCATTAATTTCAGATAGTAAGCACATAAAGGAAATAAAACACAGCAAAGAGATCAGCTGGGTGATCAGAGAAAGCTTCTCTGAGGAGGTGACATTTGAGTTGAGACCTGATTAGAAGGACAGCTACACAGATCTAGATGCACAGTTCCACATCAAGGTGACACCAAACGCAAAGGAGTGTCTGAAAGGCAGAAAGGAAGGCCTTTGGGGCTGAGATATGGCAGACCACGGGGAGAAGGGCAAGCAATGAGGCAGGCAAGGTCTCGTGGCCATCACATGTATTGCCTCATTGCAAAGGCAGATCACAAGAATAACGCTAGAAAGCACACAGGGTCCCAGAGAGTATGATGGAACCAACCCCGGCATGCAGATGAAAGCAGCTCAAAGTCTCTCCTCAAGCACACACTGAGGTACAGCTCATCTATATGTTCATGAGCCACTTTGTGCCTGAGTCACGTCCAAACAACAAGCCTGCTTCTAAACTGTTCGTATATCTTGGGCTGGCCTTTCAGTTTCTATTTCCTATTTGTGGGCCTTTTTCTAGTTCAGCCTTCAGATGCTCCACCCCTTCTGTCATGGTGCTATGAAGAAATTCCTTTCTCTTGGGCCCCAGCCGCCTGCCCTTCTCCAGCTATATTCCACTACACTGGAGGAGGATGTAGTTATCCAGGGCCTAAATAAAGCTTTATAAAAATCCAGTGCCTTAACTAGAACCGCAGTGATGCTTAAGTTTCCATGCACAAAAGTTTAAATCAACTATGCACAGCAGAAAGCATTTGGCTGGAGCTAAGGGAGACTGTTGCTGGCCTCACAGAGGTGCTTCCATCTGTCTTCAATCAGCACTGAACTGAACACGTTAGACGTAGGATGGTGTGAATAGAGAAGAGCCAAGGTTTGAATCCCAGTACCATTTCTTGCCCTCTGACCTAGGAAGGTTCACTTGGCTCAAGGAAACCTCACATTTTGGGGTTCTTTGCTGAGTAAGCTGTGTTGAGTCAAGCCTTTTTATAAATGTTAACAGTAACTGAAATCCATGGGATTAATCCAAAATTAAGTAAACCTGATACAAGGATAAGATGACTCAATAGGAAAGCTACCTAGACATCACTTCGACTCTCTCACGAAGCTTACTTCTACCACTAATTTCTTAGTTCATTCACCCACTACCTGACCCCTGCCCCTCCCCCACCAGACAGAGGTTTGATCCTTGTAACACCCTCCCACTGCACAAGAGTTTGAACATTCATTAGTACTTATTTATAATCAATTCACTGGACCGTCAACTGTGAGGGCAGAATCATCTTACTATACCCCTACGATTGGCAAATAGAGGGCATTCCAGTCAGCTGACTGTAAGACTGGGATATGGATGGTCAAACACTGCACTGGGGATGATGCTATGAGGCAAAAAACCGCCCTCAAGATGCCTAAGTTTTGCTCTGTGCAAGGAAGAAGGAAGGAAGCTCCAGGAGAGAAGTGGGGGAGGTAATTTAGATGGAGACGGAGATCAGGGCGTTAACTTAAACTTGGACTTGAAGCCTGAGAAGGATTTGGGGATAGTGGTGAGGGAGGTTTGGATGGGGCAAGAAGAGTTCCAGGCTAACCGAACTGCAAAGAGGAGCAGCCTCAAACTATCTGAAGTGTACCTGAAGAAGCAATAAGCAGCCGGTGTGGCCGGGGAGCCTCTGCCAGGTGCCAGGCACCGTTCTCTGAGCTAACGAGACACACACCTGCAGGAGATCCGGCAAGAGGTGGGCAACGGCGAGCCTGCCCTAAGTGAGTCTCAGCCCTCACTTTACGCACCTGTAAAATGGCCGCCAGCCCTCCCCCGTACAGGGTCGCTGCAGGAACAAGGCCAGCGCGCCTCAGCAGGTGTCTACCGTGCCTTCTGACTAGGAAAGCGGTCCCAGGACCAAGGCCAAGGCCGGTGATCTCAGGATAAGCACTGAGTTAAGCCACACAGGAAAAGCCAACTGAGAGGCAAGCAGCAGGCGGTCACGCTTTCTACAGTTTTTTCAGCTTAGGTGCGTCTGATTCAAATTACAGATTCACACTGGCCAGTCTCAAAGTACCCAGCACAGCCCAGCATCTGCAGCGGGCATTTTCACACGCATCTGCTTTAACCGCCACGACCAGTCTATTAACAGTGCTTAGGCCACGAAGACTCAACTGAAAGGAGGATGAAACGGGGCTCCCACACGAGCGAGCAGGAACGCTACAAACCCCCGGTGCCGGCCCCGCCCCTCTCACAGCTCGGGGCAGACCGGCCGGACCTCCAGAAAGACCCCCCTTTTGTTCTTTCGGTCTGGTTCAGCGTCCCTCCAACTTCAGCGCACGTTAGAACCACCTGGCAGAGCTAGGCACACGACGCCAAACGGACCGTGCAGACTCTGCAGGGGAAAGTCTGGCTCTCCGAAGGCGGACGCGAGACTCCACCTGAGCCCCGGCAGGGCAAACTCCACTGTCACGTGCGGGACGGAGTCTGACAGGCCGCCCGGAACCCAGCGGGCGCCTAACGGACGGCAGCGGTCCTACCGGGAGCCGACGGGCGAAAAGGAAGAGCGCCCCGCCAACTTTCGCGGGCCTTCGGGAGCCCGAGAGGGCCCCGCGGAGCGGGCCCGTCAGACCGGCCCTCTCGCCCCCGCCCCCAGACCCTCCCCGGCGGGGCCTCGCTCCTCCGCTCCATTCCCCTCCCGGTCAGGCGCCCCCCAGCTAGACCCGGCTCGCCGCTTACACGTGTCCGCAGGGCACCTGCACGGGCTTCTCGTACACTTCTAAGCACACTGGACACGTGAAGCGGCCTAGGGGGTCGGTCTCCGCCGCCGGCCCTGCCCGCTGCGCACCGCGCTCACACTCCTGCTGTTGCTCCGCCATCTTGCTGCCCCTGAACGCCGCGCAACGGCGGCCGAGAAGGAGGAGCTGGGGGGGCGGGGCGAGACTCGTGGGCGGGGCGAACGCGGGGCGGGGCCTGTGAGCCGGGTGCGCGGTTGTGGGCGGGGCTCCCGGAAGAGCCTCGTTTCCGGGCCGTCTGACCGGACTGAGGGAGAGGCCGAGGGAAATCTGAAAAATGTGGAAGCGAAATCCAGAGGCTGGCAGGATTGGGACGCGCTTCGTGCGTGGGCCACTGTTTCCCAAATTTAAATCATTAGTTCAGCACCACCTGCACTATTACTTAATATTTCTCTTCGAATGGAGTTTTCTTTTTCTTTAAACTTAAGCAAACAGATTTTAAAGGGAGATCTGATATCACTGCTGAGCTGCAAATAGAAAATCAGTATCATTTATACAATAGAACTGTAAAAATAAATACAAATATGGAAACAAAACATATTATTAACTCATGCTGATACTGTTGATGCTGAAAAGAGATTAGCCATTATTGGAGAGGTGTTAAAGACGGCTAACACCACGCTGAGACTTCCCAGCAAAAGAAGCAATGGGGAGCTGGTATTTGATACTGTGTTTGCATGCCTCACCTCCTGCTCTGTGTAGAGGGTAAGCTGAGGCCTGAAAAGACAGAATAAATCTCGGTCTCACTAGGAAGGAGCCGGCCTGGAACCCAGGTGTTTTTTGTTTTGTTTTTTGAGACAGAGTCTCGCTCTGTTGCCCGGGCTAGAGTGCCGTGGCATCAGCCTAGCTCACAGCAACTTCAAACTCCTGGGCTCCAGCGATCCTTCTGCCT